CAAGACAAACTAAAATATTTTGTTAATAAATATATATATATATATATATATACATAATATATATATTATGTATATATGTATGTATTATAAATTACATTTTTAAATATTAAAATAGTTATTTTCAATATTTCACAATATTGCTATTTTAATTGTGTTTTTGATCAAATCAATGCAGCCTTGGTGAGCAGAAGTGACTTCTTTCAAAGCATTAAAAAATCGTACTGATCCAAAACTTTTGAAAACTATTTAACAGGATTTTCCTCCAACTGGGTCATGCAGTGTCAAATCAACCAAATTTCAGAAACGTCACCAGCTCAAATTTTTGAGATTTTTTCTGAAGAAAGATAAACACGTATGGTGATGAATGCCAAAATATTAGGGTTAGTAATTCACTATTTTGTAGAGGGGGGGTCAAAATTACAATTTTCACCTGATATTCAGAGTCAAATAAAAGGGCGGTCAAAAGTACTTTAGAAAGCATGCTTTAGGCAGCATCATTATGTTATTTTTACACAGAGATTGTTTGGTCTGTTAGTAAAATCTGTCGTCTTGAGCAGTCTTTGTTGCATTATAGTATGTGCCAATGGTGACCATTCAAAAATGGGGAAAAAGTACATTTCAAGCTTATTCTCAAAAGTCTGCATGCCTGTAACTCAAGAAGTATTAAAGATATCTTAATTCCCTTTTAGATATTTGGTCTTAACAAACTTTCCTTTTGGCATCTTCATTTTTAAAGACCTATGGTTCAGTTCCGGAGATATTAGAATTTCAATATGGCTTCAGGAGTAAATTGTTAAATTGTACACATTTTCAGTGTGGTCAAAAACCAAATGTGGGTCACTTCGCATACAGATGATACTTTTCCTTTAAAGTATATCTGAATAACAAATAATGTTGAAACTAGAAATGAATCTTGTTTCCTTTTGTCAAAACAGCTGTATTGAACATACCTGTCTGAGTGACATAAATATTCGTTTTCCACTACTAGGATGTGAATTTATTATGTGTATTACTAAGTACATGTGAATTTGATCCGTTTCACAACAGGTTATAACGGGTGAAATCCTGCTGCTGCCGGAACTCTCCTTCATGACCGGCATCCCTGAAAAAATGAGGAAAGACTTCAGAGTCATGAAGGTACGAATCCGTTACAAGTCAAACCAGTCTCAAACACAGTCAGGTGGGTGAACTCTTTATATTGCAAACTGTTCAGATATGTGACCCAGGACCACAAAACATAAGTCATAAGGACAATATTTGGCCGAGATACAACTATTTGAAAATCTGGAATCTGAGTGTGCAAAAAAATTATAATATTAAGAAAATCGCCTTTAAAGTTGTCCAAATTAAGTTCTTAGCAATGCATATTACTTATCAAAAATTAAGTTTTGATGTATTTACGGTAGGAAATTTACAAAATATCTTCATGGAACATGATCTTTACTTAATTTCCTAATGATTTTTGGCATAAAAGAAAAATCAATAATTATGACCCATAAAATGTATTGTTGGCTATTGCTACAAATATACCCCAGCGACTTAAGACTGCTTTTGTGCTCCAGGGTCACATATGGTTGTCTATTCGTCTTGTGTTTCAGGATCTGACCATGCACATCAATGTGGGAGCCGAGCAGCACACCCAGAGTCTCAAACAACTGCTGCACAACATCAACAGCAGTAGCGAAGCGGTCTCCGAGCTGGCCCGCTGGGGCCTCAGCATCAGCCAAGAGATTCTAGTGGTGAGAATGGAAACACGCACCTGACAGTGTAGTTCAGAGAACTTTTTGTGTCTTCGGTGTAGGGCTGGGTGATAATTCGATAACGATAATTATCGAGATATAATTTTCTTCGATAAAACGATATGAAGAGTTAGATATAATGTTTATGTGCCAAAAGCGGAACGAAACAGCACGACTCATTTGAATCGCGCCACACGGACCGTTTATCCGCTCAGATCAAAGTTCAAACTGCCGCGCAGCACGAGCTCACTAGAGCAGATGCATTTACTTCAGTCACGTGAGCACTAAACAGCGCTGTAAGATCCAGTGTGAAGCGCAAATAGAGCGATGAACACAAATGACTCTGTGATTTAAACTAGTTTAAAGCCAAACAGGAGAAACACTGAGCAACAAGACAAGTCAGAAGGCTTTTCAATCTACACATCGCCATTATTTACCATGGATTTACTGTGGTAACACTCACTGCACCATGGTATTGTGGCAGAAATGTGGGATATTCACATTGAATTTTATTACAGGAGTAATGGTATATAATTATAGTATGTATTTGTGATTAAGCTATAGCATGTGTGCATTTAAACTGAATGTTTTTAGACTACTGTTTTTTTTAATACAAATCGGCTACCTAATAACCATATATTTAGATTTTTACCATGGTATTGAGGTGCTATATGTGTGGTTTTAACTGTGTTTATCATGATTTAAATGTATGCAACTATGGGAGACCAATGCTTAATTAAAAATGAATAAATAAATAAAAACTTGGTCAGAATAAATGTAACCATATAAAACTGAGATTGCTACAATTTTTACAGATGTTACTGATTTTGATAATGAACAAAAATTTACCTCCGCATCCTAACTCGAACTGCTATCAAATGTGCATTTATAAGAGACAAAAAAGTGATATTATTATTATTAATATTATCAGGCAACCCAAACTTGTTTCTTGATTTGAAACAATATCACTCATTAGAACATGCAGAAACTAAGAAATTAATTTTTCTAGTTAGATATTTATTTTGTTAAATCATTATAATGAGCCCAAATTAATTGTCTGGTTTCTACAACTTTCACTTTGGAGCAAAAATCTGGCTTAAACTTAAAAAGATTTGACATTTATCGTGATAATTATCGATATCGACTGATATGAAACAATTATCGTGATAATTTTTTGGCCATATCGCCCAGCCCTACTTCGGTGCATCCACTGCTCCATCAGGTCCTCCATAAATATTAAACCAGAAATAAGTTCCTGTTCAACTCGTATTACACCTGGATGGCGCCTATTAAATTGTGTTACTCTATGTATCTACACTACCGAAAGTTTGGGCTAGGTAGTTATTTTTTTTATTTTGAAAGTAGTTAGAAAAGAAGCTCTAAGGCTGCATTTATTTGATCAAAACTGTAGTGTTGTGAAATATTATTACAATTTCAAATAACTGTTTTCTGTTTCATTATATTTTAAAATGTAATTTATTTCTGTGATCAAAGCTGTTCAAAAGAGTGTCGAAATAGTAAATTTTACTGTCACTTCTGACAAGTATTCATTTCTATCAAAAGAAAAAAAACATATTACTGACACATCCTTTGCATTAAAGTGCTATACGTACACAGATCCATCGTCATTTTCAAAATTCAAAATATGTTAATTTTAACTCCTATTATACTGTACCTAGATATATTATATTGCATTATTCTATATAGTTTATTATATATTCTTGTACTGTATATCAGTTATCATTATCATTAATATTATTAAAGTCACTAAAAAATGTATATAGCATTATAGCACTTTAATGTTTTTATTTTTAGGATTTAATGGAGTTTTCTTGAATTATTGTTAGGGCTGTCACAATTCCTCAATTAAATTTGAGTACTCTATTATAAAAAATACTTGATTGCATTTTGCCCGGCCGATGAACTGGCAAAATACATGAAGTGAAGCACGAAATATTAAAACCATTTAAAAATCGTAATAAAAGAGAGTGCTATTATGAATTCACAAAGGCTGCAATTAAACAAAAATATGCGTTGCAGGTTTAATATGCGTGTAGGTTATGTGCATCTTGGAGCGGCTCCATTCACAGTAAATGCTGCTCCACACAAACAGTTATCATTCACATGCAAACTCCATCTCTGCATATGCTGTGAGTCTGATTTGCTTATAACGTCCATATGGGAACAATGTGCTCCATTCTATCAGATTTATACGGTAAATCATTTACAAACCTACGCCAACACAGCAGAATACATCATTATCTTTCTAAATAATACTAACTGTTTGTGACTTCAAAATAAAACCTTTGAGTTTGCATGTTTTGATGTCCACATGTTCTTGATGAAGAAATGACTGTCGCATTTATATCATAAAAAAGTGGCCAAATAAGAAAGATTCAGTGGACATTTGATTTTAAATGTTGGTTAGTCAATATTAAACAAGGATTAGATCATGCTGTAAAGGCATTTGATATAATACATAATGTACATAAGTTATGATGATTGTTTTATTACTATATTATATATTTCAACTGTTTTGTTCAATAAAACCATATGATTGCTTGCTTTTTATATTTTATTTGAAACTATTTTTATTGCCTTGTTGCTATTATGTATGTATTTTAAGTCATTTTGAAGTCTATTGTTTGCTTTATTACCTCAATTTTTCAGAATAATTGACAGATTACTCGATTACCAAAATAATCGTTAGAGACAGCGATAAATATTGTATTTACCTGAGTGAAACCCAACAGTACCTGACAAATATCCATATACGGTTTTGTTTTTTGTGCCCGTTTTAAATGTAAAACAACAAAAACAAAAAGATTACCATTATAATGCAAATACACTTTCTTTTTGTTTTGAGTCAGAGTCTTTATGGATCGGTTAGAATCTAAATATAAAGCTGGGGGGAATGAAAACTAGTTAATTCAAGCATTATTGTTATGTGTATGTATTTTTAAAACTCGACAGTGAAATGGAACATGTTTGAAAGAAAAAAAGAATCCCTCATGTTAGCAAATTCAAGTAAGTTTTGAACAATCACTAATGTTGGCATATTTGTCCTTTTAATTAATTGTGTTAACTGTATTGACGTGCATACTGTCTTTTTTGTTCATGATACATTGGTGTGTTTGTAGCTAACATGAATTACTTAAACATTTTGTTTCTCCACAGACTCAAGGAAGAACTCTGCCCAGCGAGACCATCTGCTTGCATTCAGCTTCTTTTGTCACGTCTCCGGCTGTAGACTGGTCCAGAGAGGTGGTTCGAGACCCCTCCATCAGCACTGTGAGTCAGCACAGTCAGTGTAGGGTGTTTGAACGAAATCACTGAAGAGTCATTGGTTTGTTTGGGAGTGCACATGTCAGACTGATCAGAGGAGGTGGACTGCAGAACCTGCATGTTTTCAAAGGCTGGAGGTCTCACACCACAGAAAGAGAACAGCCTTGTTTGGCTTGAGTGAAAGAAATGTGTGGATTGAATTTGCACATTTTGTTTGAGGCACATCACACGTAGGTATTAAAGGGGTCATGAAATGGTCATTCCTGGGGTGCGCTTATCTTAATATGGTTCACCAGAAACGGTAATGATTTACATATAAATGGTCATTTTGTACCCTCTGATTTAAGCACTCTGTTGGAAAGGGCATGTCTGCTGTGAGACTTCAATGTAGTTCAAGTTAATTTTATTTGTATATGTAACCCCTCTCCCCCGGGTCCTCTCCGCCACTCCTCGTTCTCGCTCCGAGTGGGTCTCCGGCATGGGAGGCGGACGCACTAACAAGGAGGCTAAAGACTGCAGCCTCTAGCATCAGTCGCTAGTGCGTCTCTTGAGATCAGGGGAGTGAGGTTTACCTGCACAGCACCTAACGCTGGCCTCCGTTACATATAGCACATTTACAGCAGCTGCTAGGCTGACCAAAGTGCTTTACAGAAGAGAAATTTATAAAAACATACACAGAAAGCAAGCCAAATAAAAAATATGAACAACCCATTAAAAAATTACAGAATAACAGTAATCAATACACTAAGGAAAACAGATAGGTTTTTAGCAGGGACTTAAAGACAGGCAGAGAAGGGGCCATTCTAATTTCTAAAGGCAGGGTATTCCAAAGCCGTGGCCCTGCCACCGCAAATGCACGCTCCCCTCTACGCTTAAGTCTAACATGTGGAACTACCAACAAAGCCTGGTCGCAAGATCTTAGGCTTCTAGATGGAGTGTATAAATGAAGGAGTTCAGAGAGGTAGACAGGAGCTAGGTTATGTAACGATTTTAAACAAAGAGTAGAATTTTGAAGTCTATTCTCTGATGAACCGGCAACCAGTGTAGAGATCTGAGAATTGGAGTAATGTGTTCATGTTTGCGACACTTCAGAAGAAGTCTGGCAGCAGCGTTTTGGACTAGCTGGAATGTAAATGCCCACTGGTATGATTGGCTAACATCTTTGCACATGAAATAAGTAGGACTGTCACTAACAATTATTTTTGTAATCAAGAAATTGGTAGATTATTCTGAAAAGTAAAAAAAAAAACTTTTTTTTGAGGTAATAAAAATAGAACTAAGCAAACAATAGACATTGAAGACTAAAAATATATATAATAGCAATGAGGCATTGATAATTGGTTGAAATAAAATATCAAAAACAAGTATTCATATGGTTTTATGGAGCAAAACTGTTCAAATACATAATGTAATCAAACAATATAATCATAGCTTATCTACATTGTGTTATATCAAATGTCTGCAGAAGGCACCAAAGGACTGATGGTGGTTTTTACACTTTCCTGCGATCTAATCCTTGATTAATATTGACTAAACAGCATTTAATTCAATTGTCTGCTTAATCTTTAATATTTGGACACTTTAAGTCAGAAATGCTACAATCACTGTAAACTATTGAATATGTGGACATCAAAACATGCAAACTCAGAGCGAGGCTTTAGACTTTTATTTTGAAGTCGTGATGAACAGTTCGCATATTTAGACTTCACACGATACCAAATCCAGGCGTTTCAGAAGGGCCGAAAAGAATAATTCACATTTTAAACTGGGGAAATAGTTTAGAGTTTTGAAACGCAGTGTGATTTTTTTATTAGAGTAACATCTTGTATGTGAAAATATGATAAATGAATCAATTTCATGACCCCATTAATGTATGAGGCTTTGAAAAAACACCGAATAGAATTTCTGAACTAAATGACTCTTATGATCTGATTCGTTTTAGTGACTTCAGAAACATACAGCTGGATTAGTATAGTCTGATTACTGAACAAAAGGACTTTTACAGTAGAGACGGTTAATTTGAGTGAATTAGAAACGCATAGCTGGACCAAGCAAGTCTGATTTTTGAATAAGATGACTCTTAGGTTCATTTTAGTGAATCAAAACATGCAAAATGACTCTTATGAACTTATGAAAAAGATGATCATTATAGTGTAAAAATGATCTTTGGATGTTTTGAAATCGACAGAATTGAAAGCCCCAGTCTCATTCTCTCACATTGCTCTTGTGTAGTTCTTCCTGTCTACTGTATTTGTCTCCGGATTGCTCTCTCAGGTTCCTCTGAACTGCTGGGCTGTTTTCTATCCCCGGCGGGCAACCGATCAGGCAGAGGAGCTCGTGACTACTTTTACGAGGGTAGCCGGACCAATGGGCATCAGAATTGAGCGGCCCATCCGCGTAGAGCTACGGGATGATCGAACCGAGACCTACGTCAAGAGCATTCACTCTCAACTCACCAGTGAGGTGGGGAAGTGCACTACACAGAGACTTGGAAAAACTGTAATGAAAGAGCTTTGGAACGTTTACTGTTCTCTCGAAGAGCAGTGTTACTCTCTATGGGCCATGGCTCTTTTGGCTTTGTAGTGCATTGGGGTATTATCTAAATACCGTAGTATATAGTATATTGTCTCTCCTGGTTTTCAGCCCCGCATGCAGCTGGTCGTGTGCATTATGACCGGAAACAGAGACGACCTGTACAGCGCCATCAAAAAGCTCTGCTGCATCCAGAGTCCAGTACCATCACAGGTTTCATCGAAACACAATTCCTTTGCATTTCATTGTTCAGTTGCTGTTTATGTAACACATACACTACTGTTCAAAGATTTTTTTAAATGTTTTTGAAAGAAGTGTCTTATGCCCACCAGGGCAACATTTATTTAATAAGTAATATTTTGTAATATTGTGATACGGTTTTATATTTTAGTATATATTAAAATGTATTTTATTCCTGTGATCAAAGCTGAATTTTCAGCATCATTGCTCCAGTCTTCAGTGTCACATGATCCTTCAGAAATCATTCTAATATGCTGATTTGCTGCTCAAGAAACATTTCTCATTATTATCGATGTGGCGAACAGTTGTGCTGCTTGAATAGAGAGTTCAGAAGAACAGCATTTTTTTACATTTTGTATTTACTCACTTTTGTTCAGTTAAATGCATCCTTGCTGGACAAAAGTAAATTTCCTCAGCCTTTAAAACGATGTTGTAAACGTTATTTAAATGTTTTGCCTGAAAGATAATACCTCTGACCACTTCATTTGTACTGAAATTCAATTTTGAATTATTTTAATACATTTATAATCCCATGTCAGTGGAATTATTTAGCTGTTAAAGGGTTAGTTCAACCAAGAATTACTCACCCTCATGTCGTTCTAAACCCATAAGACCTTTGTTCATCTCCAAAACACAAATTAAGATATTTTTTATGAAGTCTAAGAGCTCTTTTACCCTGCATAGACAGCAATGGAACTACCAAGTTCAAGGCCCAGAGAGGTAGTAATTAATGACAGAATTTAAATTTTTGTGTGGACTATCCCTTTAATTAGCTGGGGTTTTTTGCTTTGCGTATTTGTGGCAAACAGCATGTATTCATATTAGACATTTCACATCTGTGTCACTTATTCCCAGGCCATCAACGTGCGGACCATCTCCCAGCCACAGAAGCTCCGCAGCATCGCTCAAAAGATCCTTCTGCAGATTAACTGCAAACTGGGAGGAGAGCTGTGGACGGTAAATGTTCCTCTGGTGAGTGTGTGCTAATCAGACCTTTTTCCCCACGGGTGGCCCTAAAGTTACCCTACTGTATCACGCTCTTGATTAAAAAATGCTAAAGTAAATATGGAGTATCAGGAATGAACCTGAAAATGGTCACTGCACAGTGAGCACTGATATACGATAGCTAGGTGTGATCCATTTTCTGTTTATTTTTTTTAATGCATTGTTGGTCAAGTTTCGATATTTATTCCTAGGTTCACATCTTGACTTTTATTACCTAGACACCAGCCGCAACAAACTCATTAATAGTCTTGAGCTGGTGGGAGAACATTATAATATCATTAATATTAAAATGGACTAAGTTTTTTCTTTCTTGTTTTTCAAACTTTAATTATTTGTTCACAAGTTTTAAATAACCTATAATAGATTGAATATGATGTAATTCATGACTAAACATCCGAAGGTAAGTTAAAAGAAAGAGTACAACTTTACAATCCGTCTCATGTAATCTCTCAATAAGTGTTTCAGCTGCGCATAGACGTCAATATAACGGCTTCTAAACAATGTCACGTAACGTCACATTTACCTCAGAAACAAACATATTTGGTGACCATAAACTCATTAATCAGCTGGAAAAATAAACTGTAGAGAGGGGCATTTTGCTAAATATATGCACCATATAACATATTCATTATACATTTTACTGTTCTTCAAGGTTTAATTTATGTTTGAATAAATCCATCAAGTTTTTATGACAGCCACCATTGTTTATATTTCAAACAAATTAATTGAAGTAGAAATATTATTATGTAATTAACTTTATTATTTTAAAAACTTCATTAAGTGTAATTTTAACAAATCAGTCAATTTTAACCGTCAATATTATAGTAATGTAGTACCAACTGACTCTCATGTGTATTTTACAGCATTAGTTGAGAGATTTTTTTTTCCTTGAGGAAAATTTGTGATGTACTGTACCTGATATATATAAAAAATAATCAATATTGAATTGAATCGAATCGCAAGCTTGTGAATGTGAATCGAATCGTGAAATTTGTGTCAAAACCCAGCCCTAGATGTGTAATGCATGATAAAGCAAAAAGGCATCTAAAAGTGAACTTAATGCATTGTTCCTTCTGAATGGTATTGATGTTGAATTGTTGCAGCACATAAATATCAGCAAATGGTATTAAATAAAAGGGTAACTTCTAACCCCTGTAGTTTTGATTTGAACAGAAATACCTGATGGTGATTGGGGTGGATGTTCACCATGACGTAAGCAAGAAGAGCAGATCTGTCATGGGCTTTGTAGCAAGTCTCAACAGGTAAAACCACCCAAAATAAAAGGCTGCATTTATTTGATCAAAAGTACAGTAAAAAAATTATAAATGTGAGATATTACAATTTAAAATATCTTTTGCATGATCCTTCAAAATATTTAACTTTTTTCAGGATTCTTTGAGTATAAAGTTCAAAAGAACAGCATATTTTTAAATATCACTTTTTGTAATATTATAAATGTACAAAATCATACTGATCAATGCGTCCTTGCTAAATTAAGGTATTTTTTTTTTGTTTATTAAAAATAATTCTTAATGATCCCAAACATTTTAATGATAGTATTATAAACATTTGCAAACATCAGTGCAAGTGCACTGAGATGCAGCACTGGGACTAATTCATTTTAGTGAATGTGTAACAGTTTATCAAGAAAGAAAACCTCTGACGGGTTCTGTCCACCTTATTTTTCAATGCTGAAGTAAGCTGTTTTCTGGAAATGTGTTTGACTTCCGGTTCATAAGCCGCTGTAGGGAAATAACGAGAAGAATAATAGTGCAGTAAACGGTAAAACTGTTTGCACTACATTGTGTTCATAATTAAGATAATACATTTAAATAATATGTGACCCTGGACCACAAAACCAGTCATAAGGGTCAATTTTTTGAAATAACTATTTGAAAATCTGGAATCTGAGGGTGCAAAAAAAATCTAAATATTGAGAAAATCTCCTTTAAAGTTGTCCAAATGAAGTTCTTAGCAATGCATATTACTAATCAAAAATTAAGTTTTGATATATTTACAG